CGCCGGTCAGTTCCCAATCCTCATGTTGGGCTCGTCTCCTTCGTCGGGCTAAAGTCGCGGAGAAAATGGCACTTTTTTCTGTCTCTACCAAGCGCCATGACGTCCGGTGACACGACTGAGGCTGAGTTGTGTCAAAGGTTGGCGGAAAATGATTCACACAACGGCTCCAGTCACGTGTCCCTCGCTCCGACGACTGCACACACCAACCCGGCAACTGTTGTGCACACTGAGGCCACCACCGACTGACACACACACAACACGACAACGGGGGGGGGCATGACGATGCATGTGTATGTGGATACAATAGGGTTACATGTAGAGCCTACCCCACCCCACCTTACCCCACCTCGGATTCACACGTTAACTCGAAAAGAAGCAAAGCATGCAAGTCCTCTTTCGGCCAGTTTGTCGAGGCCTCTTTTCATGCGCCGCACAACCGAGCAAGCCGTTGAGATGTCGGCATTTACGCCAACAAACACACACACACACACACACCTACATACACACATACAGAGACATACACCGGTACAGAACAGACCTGAAGGGCTGCAGTCCTGGTCTCTCGTCAGGAACGATTTCTGCAAGCCGGAAAACATGCTCTGACATCGTCGGCGAAGCACTCCCTCGACTCAATTGGCCTCGTCGACTCGGTCGGGTCCCCAGTTTGTTTGGTACTTTACCCTTTTTCACGTGAATTGGCCGAAAGAACCTTTGGCTGCTTTGCAGAGGACAAATCTAAACGACACCGAATGGCAATGGCGATGGCTTGGGCGGTATTTTGTTTTATTCTAACAATTTTATTTATTTATTTATTTATTTGCAAGTCTTTTTTTATTGCAAATGGGAAAATAGTTTTCCATATCAGATGTAGTCTCGAAAGCCTACTTATATACGAAAAGTAGTTTAGGCTCCGGGAAAGAGAAGAATTTCTCGTTTAACAAGCAACTCCTGACATGTCACTGTTGAGCTGACTGACATTTCTTGAAAAAGTGTGCGTTAAAAAGAGGTTCATCAGCGTCGACTGCTGCTCAAAATGGCCTCTTTTGCTTTCCATTACAACAGCCCAAGGTTCCACACAGAACAAGTAGGCTTTCGAGACTGTCAGCAAATCACAAACAAGACTTCCGCTCCTCCTTGCTTGTTGGCAAGACTTACATTTTATGCAAAATTGCATGAAGAAGAGATTCGCAGCTCGACGATGGCTCATTTGCCTCGTACTGCTTTAATGTGACGTTGAAGGTTGCCGCAGTCCACGAGACATCCTCACTCGTTTCGGGTGAGATCGGGTGAGATCCACTTCCGAACATCTTCTCCATGCCTCTTCATATGCACTCAAAGTCCTCCCAATAACTCTTTGTATCCGATAATTGAATTGTCTCATAATCAACTATCATTTCATTTGCATAAAGCCTACTTCGTGAAAAGTAATTTCCACCAGACTGGACTGTGATTTCCACCTCTTCTAGATTGGCCTCAGCATCAGCCTGCCATTGACTATAACTTCTACGCAGACCTATCATGGGCATAGTTCGAGTCCCGTCGAGGGTAGCCAGGAGACGGGATCAGGTCAAGTCTAAAGTTCAGTTCCCCTGAGTCCAACAACAAATGCAATTTCGCTTCATCGACGATACCATCAAAGAATGTGATATTGGACAATGACTGGCTCTCCTTGAAATGCCATGGTTCGAGTCCCGCCGGGCGTGTCAATGCGACGAGTTGAGGCGAGGGCGAAATTGCAGTCCACTCCGGTCGGGATGAGGACACATTTTAGGGAAGCGAGGCAATGTGAAATTGAGTAGAAACGTCATAGCATTGTGGAAAAATGCAAGTGCTAATCTCCTTATGGCCTTGAACGAAATAGGATGATCGCCTTTCATAAATACGATCTGCTGGTAATCTCGAAAGCATACTCATAAATCGAAATAAGTAGTCTAGTCGATTGATATAGCAAATGCAACTTTGTTTCTTCGAAAGTACCACATCACACTGTGCTCTGTGACGCAAGCGCATTCACGGCAGTCTGGCGTGGTGACTAACTCATCAAGGCCACACGCTGCACACACCCAACTCGGGTTCGAGTCCCGCGGGGCTACTGACTAGACCGGCTAGGGGGGAGGCCGAAATTGCTCTCCAGTCCAGCCCGGTCGGAATGGGAATAACTTTTGGGAAGCAAAGCATTGTGAAATTGAATGGAAACATGAAGTCTACTCGATTGGTCGTGGGGACAGGCAGCTGCCAGCCAACACGAAGTAGAGTGAAATCACTCTTTTGTCACGATCTTCTGGTAGCCTCGAAAGCCTACTTGGAAAGACAAAAAGGACGATAAAACTCCGGAGGAGGAGGAGGAGGAAGAGGAAAAAGAAGAGGAGGAGGAGAAGGAGAAAGAAAATGAAGAAGAGAAGGAGGAGGAGGAGAAAGAAGAAGAAGAGGAGGAGGAGGAG